GCTGTCTGGATAGGCGCAGCCTCTGTTTCCTGTCAGGGTCGGACGGGGATTTCAGGCCCCCGGGGGGAGCTTACCTTGTTGGAGGCCATCTCGCTGACGGAATGCCTGGTCTGCAGGGTCTCCAGCTGGTCCAAGCACCAGTCCAGCTCTTCCAGGGTCTCGATCGCCAGCTTCTGACAGGCATCCTCTGTGGAAAGGGACGCAGGGAGATAGGCGCAGCCTCTGTTTCCTGTCAGGGTCGGACGGGGATTTCAGGCCCCCGGGGGGAGCTTACCTTGTTGGAGGCCATCTCGCTGACGGAATGCCTGGTCTGCAGGGTCTCCAGCTGGTCCAAGCACCAGTCCAGCTCTTCCAGGGTCTCGATCGCCAGCTTCTGACAGGCATCCTCTGTGGAAAGGGACGCAGGGAGCATTGGGGAGAGCGCTCGCTGGTCGGCTGGCCAGAGGCCCTGCCAGCGTGCCCCAGGCTCTCAGCATCACGCCGGGCCCCTATGCTGCGCCCCGCGCCCGCCCTGCCCCCAGCATCGACAGCCCGGAGGTGCCTCTGCTTCCCAGACTAGCGCCCGGAACGTGTGGCAGGCTCCAGCCCCTCCCCGCGATGCTGCTAAGCTGTTTAAATGAAACCAAGGACTTTAAACACAGGATCCTGGATTCTTTTTTCCCAAAGCTACTTAAACTAGCATCAACAGTTATGTGTGATGTTATTCAGTTGTTCATTTAGCACTACTATCTAGCAATATGTGAAAAGCTAAGGCTCTTGAACTCCATGGCTATCAGTGGGGCCAGTGGGTATAAAATTGCAGACACATCTCCCATGGCAGCACTGCAGAATGTAAAGTAATCTAACAATCAACTTGCTTACCTTTACTGCAGAAATGGGGCTTGGAATGCTGGATGACTCAAAGAGCCCCCATTAGAAAATTACATTTTTGCCTTGTTAATCATTATGTCAGAATTCAAGGGACATGTAGTTGGCCAAGTAATAGAGCCTAGAAAGAGAAAATTCTTAGCATAGAACATTTTCTTTAGATGTATTTATCTAATTTGAGAGTTATTAGATGTATTTATCTAATGTGAGGTTCACAGAACAATCATGAAGTTCCAAAGGAATTGCAATGGTAAACACCAATCAGTGGTAATGACTTAAAAAATTCTTGTTGCAAACTAGTTTTATTTAACCAAGTTCTGAGATTGTTTCTGATCCATCAGCCATATGTCCCTATCCAAGCCTTTTATAAATCTTGTTGGGAACTTGTAATTTGTTTCATGTATCAAATAATACTAATAGATACATAATTTCATATCAGAGACTCCTGGAGAAATGAGGTGAGGCCACATTTTTAAGATGTCAACCACAGCAGTAAAATCTCTTTCTCTCTCTTTGGTACTTTTATGGCTCCAAAACTGCAGTATATACGAAGTATATAATATTTAAAGTGTTTGTTGTCCCAATATCCCTGAGGCCATGTCTACACTAGGAAACTATTTCAAAATTAGTACATTCGACTTAATTACTCCCAATTTAACAGATTCAAACTAGTGTGTCCACACTACAGGGAAGCCTCAAAATCATTATGAGGAAGACTCCATTAAAGTGGATGCACTAGCTCGGACTTAGAGCCCCAGGAAGCACCGAGAGTAATTAGTTCAAATTATCCTGAGGACTAATTATTTCAAAATAGCAACACTGGAGCATCCACACTACTGTTATTTTTCATATAACTATTTTGGAATCAGCATTTCTTCTGATGAAAACCAGGAGTATAGCTTTCTAATTCTGCTGCCCATTATTTCAAAATAACAGGATTGGTAGTGTGGATACTCCACTTATAAACTTGGCCAGGGGCATTATTTCAAAATAAAGTCCTAGGGTAGACCAGGGCTGAGAGTTAGGAAAGTGTTGTAATTCCCATTTTGCATATAGGGAACGGAGAAAAAAAGAGACCAACATGGAGAGACCTGAAAATCCCGTCTTATGATGGGCTAATTGGCTAGTGTGGTAAGATCAAGCCAGGCTGAAGAAGTGCCTGGCCCCTCAAGGGGCACAGCCCTCTGTGGGGCTGGCAGGCTTGGGGATGAGGGGTTTACACTCTGCTTCCACCCAAAGGCACCCAGGCTCCCCACTGTGGCTCAGGGGTGCCCTGGGGCCCCAGAGCGGGAAGGCAGAAGGGCTCCCTGGCCCCTCCGCTCCCGCGCCAGGCTGGGGCCGGCTGCAGCTGGGTGGTGCGGGTT